CGGAAATACGGAGAAAAATCAGCCAGCATCAGATAGAGGACTGACCTCAGAAACGAATTATACATGAGTAGGATTTGTGGAAGGCTTTTTGTTTGCCGCTGAGAGCAAAATTCAAGGTCCTACTGGAGTTTTATGCCAACTAATAAAAACTAATTCCCTCTAAGATATTGCGCCGAGCGCTCGTGATAAAAGAAAATAAAATCTGCTTCTATCGACAAAATAGTTTGACCAAAATGATTGAATTTGGCTTCTAGATGAAAGTCTTTCAACTTCTACGACCTTAAAGTTAGTCACAAAAGTAAAGAAAATAGAAGGCAACATCAAGAGGTTGCTTATTCTCAGGAACACTTTTTAAAATAAGGTTAAAACCTCGTTTCCGTCTGCCATTCGTCTCGCTGGCAACAACGCTGATGAAGAACACGAGTTCCTCATATAGCTAAGAAGTAAGCCTTGACATTTCTCCTTCAAAAAGGGCACCAAGAATAAAAACAACTGACCCATACTGAGACCTAAAGTTGGTAAGATTTTTACGTGCAGCAAGGGGTATTTTCTCATATTGACGGTAGGATTCACATGGGAAACATAGATCTTAGTTTTTTCAAGTTTCGACGAAGGGTTGCATGAGGTTTCATAATGAAAAAAGTAGAACACGAAAATATGTATGCTGTAGTTCAGCTCTGAATAACTGAGACCATCCGCTGGAAACTCGGAGATGATTTACAGGAATAATATACTTTTAGCAGTTATATCTATAACGCTCAGAAATGAGTAGTGTATGCAAATTTATCTTTTTACGGTATGTGAGGGTAAGATAATGCATATTGAAAAATTTCGTCAGGTTACTGATATCGGCAGACGAATCGACAATAGCAGTGGTCAATGCAAACGATTACTGGTTAAGAAGATAATTATTTCCTAATATTTTCTTTGAGAAAACTCCTCAAGCACACAGACGCACCTTAACGGGGATGAGGCAATGTAGGACGAAACTTTTGTACACAGTTTATTTCCACTTGATGATAAAACGACAAACAAATTGGTAACTGCACGCGATTTATGGATAAAAGTGGAAAATTTTACCGAAAATCCAGCTTACAGTTTATGCAAGAGACTAAGAAATCCAGTTGAAACAAAGAACCTCGATGATTTTTGAAAGACGACATGCACGCCTTGACCTTCGTGTCATAGGTCGATAACAACCAACAGGCCAGAAATGACCATTTTTCTTATGTTTGGCAGTAACAAGATTCCTTATTGTCCATTAGTTTTTGAAATTCCGGACATTTTCGACTGCCTATAGCGTCAGCACTTTTTCTTGCATTTCCGTCGACATACTTTGACACTCGTTTCCTGTCCAAATCATGCATATTCCCCGTCAAATTCGCTAACTGAGCGATATTCGTGGGTTAAATCTGCAGTTTATTAAAAATCTGCAATGAAGTTTAAATGGAATACACAAAAAGAAGAAAGATAGTGCAGCATATAATTTGTAATGTCATACTGCCTGCTAACTACACTGTTTATGCTTATATCCCCATTTAAATGAGACGTACAAAATGTGTTTTAGCACAAACGTTCGTATTAATGGAGAATTTGGCGCTACAAGTGTTGACTTAAAAACCTTGTTACTGCTAAATTCGGCGGTATTGTCTGATCACCAAATGGCAGAGCCTGCAGTGGAAGAGCTGTTTTCACAGTAATTAGCTTTCACAGAATTGTCGCTTACAGGTAATGTCCGAATACCGTGGATCCTTTGTTTGCGTGACAAAAGATTGTGATGAGCACGTAACACCACCTGGCAATAGGATTTAGTGATTATATTGGACTGTCGTCCACCCACTCCATGTTCTCTACGTCCAAATCATCTGTACGGTGGTCTACGAGTATGTGGAGGGATTACCAACCATGTAAATTCAAGTCTCAGTCATGCATTTTGCAATATCGTTGCATGGATCTACGTAAAAAGCGGTGATTAATTATATATTCATGTTACTAATAAATTACCATGACGAGATTTTTTTCATTTACCCTTAAGAAGTATTTCCTCTGCAGACCTCCCTAGAACAACCGACGATTCAGCGGCAAAAAATGGCGACCAACAGCCTCAAGGCATTTATTCGTCATAACAACCACCAGATGAGTTGTATTTTTTACGAATATTTTTATATTGACATATGTTACTTTGACAACTTTAATGGGTCTTGTTGAGGGGAAATTAAAGGCGGTGGGACAGTACACTGGTAGGGGGACCCCTGGTTGAGCAGGCCGTGAAGCTCACTTCTTTAAGCTCGGCTCATGCTTGGAACGAGCTCGCAAGCCCATTTCTCGCAGTTCATTTCGGGTCCGTTTTAGTGAGTTCCCGGCGAGCTCGGATCAGTGACCACACCATGGCTCCAACAAAGCTCGCGGACCTCGTGAAACGAGTTCTGCGTGAGCTCTTTCAGAGCTCATTTTGCAAATAGGGGACCAGGTAAGGGGTATCGGAGCTCAGGAAGTTTGCTGATAGAAAGAAGTATTGATTTCAGTTCTCCTCTCAAACGAAAAAGCATAAAAAACTGTCTGATAGTGACAAGTCGGGAACCTCAGTACATCCCCAAAAGATGAAAGGTATTTATAGGCGTTTTTGACTATCGGGAAGTAGTAATTATTCGCGGACCTGCAAGCGGCAACCTAACAGTGGCAAACCTACGGCTAACATACTACGAAGCAACTATGAGCTAAACATGATACAGGACTCCTTCGACTATACCAACGCAATACCCTGTTACAAATTGCACATAAATTGTTAACAGACTTTCATTCCTTGCTCCGACGATACTAATATTGGCGATAAATGATCAAGCAAACAGACCACTCCGCTCTTTCTACACGAAAACAACCATTCATTTAAGGTCATGAATGAACTACGCTATCAGAAAGTATTAAATTCTTCTCCGCATCACTCAGAGCAGTTTCCCCGACTGAAGCACGTGCCATATCATCTGGTTTCAAGTAAATACATCTATTAGCCCTTGAAGAACTGGTCAATATATTGCGTGAACCAATATCAGTGATATTCTGACGGTTTATAGAAGGGAAGAAATGCCGGAATGACTGAAATCCGTCTTCGTATCTTCGAGCAGCAAAGGATGATTTGGACTGCATTCGGGAAACTAAGGTCCCACTAGTCTAGCGCCGCCTTTGAGCAGTCATCGAACGACTTAATGAGAATCGAAAAAGGAAGTAGCCAAAGCAGAGGAGCTTATCACGTACTTTCAAGCACGACCTTTGCTGAACAAGCTCTTGTGTTGTTAGTGTTGGACGGCGGATGTTAGGAGAGGCCGTCCTACCCGACTCACTCACATGTCGCTCTAAGAACGCGCGCACGTGCTGACCTATCGCGATGCGGCAGAAGTGAACTGATCCGCTTTCTTGTTTCACGAAAGTGGTTTGCTCGGAACGGATTTTTGTGTGCTTGTAGGGTCAACGGCCGGAGCTCGCATCCCACCCCGTGGCAGGCTCCAGCTCCACACTCCCTCTGGTCCCGCTAGAAACTGATCGAGATTATGTCGTCAGAGAGACCTCTGTTGACCAACCATAATCAAGGATTTCGCTATAACACATTTATCTAATTATCGTATCTTTTATCCTTACATTTCAGTAAAGTGTTCTCCGATCCTCCCTGCTGACAACTGACCGTTTGAATACTACTAAAATTTTAACGATGGGCGACTAAAGATACTGTAAGTGTCGGAAGACGTCTTATTTGCATTCCCAGCCTCTACCGGCTAGCTTAACTGGCCACTTGTGGAGCAGTTTAAACGTCTTTCCCAAATACAAGAACAAAAGGGCAGTAGTAGCATGTGAGGTTTTATCTAACGCCTGTGTCTTTGAGAAAATACTTCAGACGGATATTTGACAGAAAAATTACAATATCCAGCAGAGAGGGAAAGGGAGGAAGTGGATCCTGGAATAAGTAAACTGGGCGGGAAATATATGAAACTGAGAGGCTGCATGCAACAGAAAAATGGAGGTGGACTGTCTTCTGCTGCTTAGCTGAAAACAAAACATTGCTAGAGAGGCAGCGGCAGAAATGACATCCGAAAATGCGCGCACAAAATGGAAAGCCGCTTCGCCAGGCAAGGCCACGCCGCGCGTTCAAATGCAGTATGTATAGAGCTGAGGTGTAAACGACTTGTTTCGTGGGTTAGGAACAGATACACACCGAGAGAGGGGGCGGGGCAAGAGAGCTAACGAGACAACACAGTCACCGGTTGGAAGTCATCACAAAGGTACTACTACGCGTGACCAAAGAGACATACTGGACCACTGGTGCAGGCTGCAAACCCGACCACACGCACGCAGGCCGGATAATGGAGGCCGAACCACTGACTTCAGAGGCAAAATGAAAACAGCAAAGCAGAAGATAGGAAGACGTTGAGCGAAGCAGAACAGCAAAGGCCACAACCCAACAGTTAACAGTGATGGGCACTATTGTGGGCGAGCACAATTAAAAACCATGCGAGGACTCCGACCTTGGCCTGACTGACATCCCCTTGGTTAAATGATAGCAACGTTAGATGAAGCAGTATAATCCCACACGGAGGTATACCAAAGCAAGCTCCACACCGCCGCACCTCGACAAGTGAACACATGCTTTTAAATGCAAGTGGGAATTAGAACAGAGAAGTCGTACCCGATGGGGGATGGGGCATGTCCATGTTTGTGTACCAGTGGAGCGCAATGAATGGGAAGTGCGATTATTTTACATTGCTCAAGCGAAAAGGACGAAAACGTTGGGCCATATGTCGCGCCTCATAAGTACGGGGAAGGGCGAGAAACTCCGACTTAAAAATCCTTCGAAACAGGCAGATCGCGAAGGACTGGCTGTGCGAGTGCCATTGACTGATTGAGGAGGGAAGTATGGATAGAGGGCGTGGGTATAGGCAAATGAACGACAGACAGACTAAAGACTTGCGAACTAATTTGAGGAACAATTGAGGACCCAGCGAACAGAAAATCTATCGCGGCCCCATGTTGTCGCAGCCACTGACATGCGAGTAGGCATCGGCCCGGTCATCGTAATTGTCCTGTACGCCCTCTCCGTAGCAGTCGTCGCCCGCTGCGCCCGGAGCCAGTTCATCCAGCGCCTCAACCAGACGCAGTCCGTCAATGAACGAGAGATGGAGCTCCGACTGCAGAGAGCGCGCAAAATATTCCGGCGCCCAGAAGCGTAGAGCGGCCAACTGAGAAAGGATGAGGCCATCAAAGGCTCCAGTAACTTGCAGAATCTGGCCGTTGCCGCGGAATTTCAGCCAGGAGGCAACTTTGTGCGTGGACCAGTTACGCACGTCGGGGCGTACCGCTGAACGACAGGCACGCACGAAAGCATCCATCGAGTTATATTGGGCCATTGTCTGGAAGATGGATCCTCGAGGGTGGGCAACGGCCTTGGGCAGACTGCCGTCACGGCCCAGGCTGGTGGCACAGCTGACGCCGAGCATCGGACCACCAGAGGGCAGGAGACCTGGAGCTGCAGCGTCGTTCATGTTTCGGTTGCTGCTGCTAAGACCGTCCACGTGATTTGGCTGTGGGTCGCGAGCGGCAACTGACTGTTTACGATCATTGCTCATATTATCAAGAAACTGTTTCACGTCCGCATAGAGGTCCTGCGCTTGAAGGACAAAGTTTTCTAGACCCGAATCCAAGTCGCGGCGACCACTCAGATCGATGAGGGTCTGGCCACCGATAATTTCGCTTAACCAACCGGTGGGTCTGTACTTGGCCTGTAGAGACACCGGCAATATTTGCTTGCCTGCGGACTGGCGAAAGGCTGCATCGCCGCCTGAAGGAGCCACGGGAACGCCCAGACTAGAACGAAAACACTCTACTTCCTGTCGACAGCCTGGTGACAAGCGGTATGCCTCCGAGGCGCAGACGACGAGGATGCTGGCTGAATCAAGGATCTTCTTCCAGGCAGCATGCGACTGTGCCAAAAGGTACACCCCGCTTAAACCCACAGCGGAAGCGTCAGCGACGGCGGAATCTGCGTCTGGCAGGGTTGTTTCCAGCATGTGAACTGGCAGGTTGGCGCTCTGAAGGCGCTCAGCAATCTTTGCGGCTGTGAGGCGATTGGCCGGCGCAAAACTGACCACAATCTGACTGCCGCCTGGAGTGCTCGGCGTTCCAGGACAGGAGAGGCGAGATGAGATGGCCTCCAGGGCGCGCACAATATGGGTCGGCAGAGTTGCACAGCGACTGGAATCACGCAGTAGACTGGAGAGCCATGCACCTGCCTGTTGGTTTAGCTCCGACTGAATGGCGGACCCGCCGAGAGCAAGGTTCCACAAAAGCCGAACCACTTCCTCCGCTTCCCGTATGGCCGAGACCGGAGGAGAGGGCTGGAGTGCCGCATCAACTGCCTCCTTGACTAGGCCAAAGCAAGTGACGCGCTCCGAGCCCATGCCCGAACTGAAGGCCAGAATATCGGATTTTATGCTGTCGTTGACTGCAAGAGTGGCCAGGGCAGATAATAGCTCGTAGACCTGGAAGCTGTGACAGCGTCTCTTCTCAGAGGCCTTGGCAGTGGCCACGTGGTCAAACAGACAGTGCAGAATGCTAGGCGGACTGGCCTGCGTGTTGTTGGGAGATGTAATAAGGGAGGTGTCAGAGTCGTTGACAATGTAGGCCAAACAAAGATCGGAGATGCAGCATAAGAACGCTTCGTCTCGAAGACAGCGATTCAGCAGGGCCGTCTTGACAGTCTCAGAGGCAAAGCAATGCACATTGCCTGGAATTCGGGCAATATTGTGGATAATAGAGAGACTAGCCTTGACCAAGTAGTAGACATTCTTGCTCGGAAGATTATCAAGGTAGGGCTGGTGACCAATGTTTAAATTGAGCAGGTTAGGGAGGCCAGCGTTGGCAAGGGCTGTGGCAAAGTCAGGCCAAATTTCGGAGAAATTCCAAGTGGTATTGTAGAAGTAAAACGAGGAGAACCAAATGTTGTCGTTTTTGAAAACACCCATATTGTTAAGCTTTTTCATCATCTTGGATGCGAAGGCGGGGTAATCAAGACTGGTAAGATACTGTGCTAATTCGATACGATATTGGTGGCAGTCAAAATAAAGGCGACTGAGTTGTTTGCCTGTCTCGTACATTGAGCGTAGATCGGTCATGTCTTCCAGTCCGTGAAAAACTTGCATAACTCGATCAACAAAGCCACGGGCTTCTTCTAGAGTGAACCCCTTGCGGCATTGGGGGATCTCGGGAACACGTTTGGAGATCGGTTCGGGGTGATCCATTTCGAGTTGGGTATATGGTAAAGTTAACTGGTGAGCGGGACACTAATTCCGGCGACCAGTAGGAAGAGAGAATTGAGGACTGGAAAACATCTAAAAGAAAACCAGTTGCGGCAAATCAAGTTCACTTGATCAAGAGAAGATGGTCCAATGACGGCAGAACTGGGTTTCTGAAGGCAAAAAAGAAGTGAATTAAAGAGCATATAAAGCGGAAGTCCAAGCATGCACTACAAATCCAAGAATATATCTTATGCATGGCCAATATGCATTCTGGAGACACCAAAAATGAAGGGGTCAAGTGCTGGGAGACTAACACTCAATTCACACTCGATCAACAAGCGAGTGGCGAAAATGTGCGTCGGAAACCAGACTAGGAAGGAGGACGCTAAGCGCTGAAATAAAGTTGTTTTTGGGCGTCACTGTTAAATGCCGCCTCTGATAGGGCACGCATCGGCAACACGGCATCCACCTTGCCTTTGCGCTAAGGCTTCTATCCGTTGATTTGCTGCACTGATAAACAGCACTCAGTAGGTGAATCAAGAACGAGAAGCAACCCCCGAACATCGACTGGAATGCCAACGCGAGCTGGTTAGCAGTCAATAAAGAATACAACCATTTTATCCTCCAAATGATCGGTTATTAACAGCGCTTAAAGCGACAAAGTTAAATTAATACCGTCAGACCCAGGACATCCGTAGGTGGAACTGTTTGACTAGCACACCATCAGGGCATAAACACAATAAATCGACTTGCTGATTTAGAAAAAACGCGGGGGTAGTCGTCCACGACACTAGCACCTGCTTGGCCGGTAAACTGAAGGGATGGGGTGGTACGCGTGCATATGGAGGGGACTGGTCTGGCTATTCTTCCGTAGGATGCTAACGCTAAGGAGTATAGGATTTTGGAAAGAGTGCTACCAATGAGTGGACATACTTCGGAACAACTGTCACTGGATTCTTTAATCTTACTTTGCCTAAAAATTCAAATCAAAACCGGCAATCAGTCACTACCGTGGTTCTACTGAAACCATTATCTGAAAACATCAAAAATACCTTTAAACCTTGATTGGCAAGCTTGTGAAGAGCATGAATGAACAATTGGTACGCAAATGGAGCATACAACAGATAGTAAGTTAGGAACCCCCTAATAGACGCCGACTCAGGCTTTTAAGCACAATAATGCTGCACAGTTTGTCCCAATCTCAAAGCAATATGATCGGTGAGAAGAGTTTCCGCTGGTAGGGCAAGACATTTTTTCTAGGACGAAAATTTAGCCACAAGACACTGAAACGTTTTCACGTGGATGAGGAAGGGAAGTGTCTGACCCATTAATGATGGCTTCAATAATAAAAAAAAACCAGCTTGACAATCAGTCAAAACAGTAAAAAAAGGATCAGCAGACGAACATGCATACAAACGCAGGAGAGAAAAACCACATGGTCCAAAAAGAAAAGGAAGTCAGGCAGTAAGGTCTAGTACAAAGTGATTCAGTGAACAGATCTTTATTTGGTAACACTGGTGCGGATACATTCGTCATATAGACGGTTTAGGTGATAAGTGCCGCAAAAAAAGACGCGATATGCTGCGGGCGTTTTATGGATTTGAACAAATATTGATATCTTCTTCATAGACGTCTCAGCAACCACACATTTCATCCACATCTAAAAGATAAAAATATAAGAAGGCTGATTAGCAAGGAAAAGACGTCCATGGGTTAATCTCAACCAAACATGCTGAACGACAAATCGATTATAATAATTATGAAAGTACTCAATATTCCGAGCAATAGTGAAGGCAACTCCTGAAAAAACCAGAGGGCTGTCATGGCCCACGAAGGCCATTTTCATTAGCTTTTGTTTGCTAGACGGGTGATGGATCAAGAGCTTTGGCGATCGATGTCACGTTGTATCCGGAAGTGTTCAAAGAGTATTGCTTCTGCCCACATATTTTCATGATGGGGGGTTACTATTTTGTTATATTTTCTTGAGGAAGTTCAAAGAGTGTTCATAGAGTATTGCTACTGCCCACATAGTTATTTTCATAATGGGGGGGGGGCTACTATTTTGTTACGTTTTCTTGAGGAAGTTTCTGTTCACATACAACAGAAAACACTCATTGCTGGCGAGTTAACTCCCTGTGGACACCAGACAGGTGCGTTAAGTCTAAAAAGGAACTTATGAGATATGCGCAGCATTGGACGTGACCGACGGGAGCAGCCTGCCTGAACCCGGGCACAAAAACTGCCCCTGGCTACACGCTACATGTACAGATGGACCCCTCACACTGGAAAGAACACTCAGGTGAGTAAGGAAAGATCCTCGTTTTAGCAAGGAAAAGGTAACGAACCTAAACATTTATCAGCAAAATACGCCAGTATGTCACTTCGTTAAAGTTGTAACTTGTAAGTTTAGGTTTTAGCTGATTGTGAGGATAGGTATTGCAGGTCGTCGTTGTGGAACCCAGTTTTTCTCGGTTAACAGGCCTTATATTTAGGTGAGTTCATAAATATGATCCCAATCGCCATCTGCAGCAAGAACATTCGAACACTCACAACATGCGTAAAAACCTTCAAAAATTGTCTCATTTTGAATGCTTTGATGAACATAAAGCACAAAAGATACTATTTTTGGCAAACAAAATCGGTTGAATCCAGCGTCACCGAAAAGAAGATGGCCATTTTGCAGAAGAAACTTCCCCTTCATACACAGAAAATGACACGCTTAAGACTGCATCTGTTAATCATATTCGAACATCTTAGTTACTGGCCATTCCTTCAGCATGCGAGTATGTGAAAAGTTCTACTATTGCGACGTTCGTATCCGCAAAATCAAGTCAAATCCATCTCGCCGTAGTCAGCCGCATCTCGAGCAATACCAAGACAGGAAGGTGCGTTTCATGACACCGTTTTTAAAAAAAAACAATCACACATCATGCAGTTGACTCGGTGCCATGCGGCATACTGCATCAATTATTGGGGGATATTAATCCTGCGGACTGCCTAAACGTTGTGCCTATAATGTTTTGTTTAATCAACTGATTTTATGAACAGGCCTTGTGCAGCTCCGCAAATTGAGTTTTCTCATTTGAAACGGATACTCGCGCTTTCAGCATTTCCGCTTTTCCTAAGTCTCATGTACAACCAACATCACAGTACTTTCCAGGGTAATTTCGTAGTTTCATTTAGCTGAAAGTAATTCCTTATTGTGTTGATGCATTTGAGCTGGTTCCCATACTGGTCACAGATTATCCGTAAATTTGCACATTTTCTCCTGCGTTACATCAGCACTGCACATAAGTAAGCGGGATGGTTACGCACCTTTCACAATTCCAACTTTGAGCTCTTAAAGTAACCTGGGACGTAACAAGTTACCTCGCGCACACAAGCAGACGTAGGCCCAACGTATCTTTATCAATGTTTGGACTCGGACAATTTTCATGCTGCTTCCGAAGCTACCATTGTCAAAAGGGACTTTAGAATAAATACCACAAAGGTTGTGACATTCGAGTTGGCTTCCATGACATGACGCGAATATTTACACTATCTAGAACATGGTGTGCAAACCTGCTAAAGAAACATATGAGAACTTAATAGAAAAGTCTTGTGTGTCACAAAGTTAAAGATGCACGCGGGGTTCTTTGCATCATCTGTCTATTTTCCATTGCTGGCAAGACAAGGACGACCAAATTTCAACCTTGCCCACACTTTGAGCAAATTAGACTGCGACGCAGACTAGAAGCAACGTTTGCAGTTGGCACTACGACCACTTCGAGAACACGGATAGAAGACAATATGTTAAGGAGGAACCAGGGTTCTATGTCCTATACGCGGGGAAATGAGCGAGGATAGAACACTCTTCACACCGCTGCGGTGGATGTCCGAATGGGCAAAGAATTTAAACAACGTTTTACTAATCGCTAGCTTGCAAGACATAATGCGCATAAGAGGACACGCCAGGGCATTGCCCGAAACCAAGATATGTTATTTTATGCAACATAACACGCTACTAACTCTATTTCCGTAACACGCTAACAAAACGCTACATTAAGTAGAGTGCCTCTGCCCGCAAGCGTTGCTATTCCGAAGAACTGGAGCAAATCCTCGAGGTAATCATTGCAGTTTACCACCAACAGGATATTCGACGCATACCGGCCGGTTGACCATAAAATTAATCAACAGAGGATCAAAAAATGAGAGATCGCAGTTGATAATTTGAGAAATAAGTAGGGCCCACCAGAACGCTGAGGTTACGGAGAGCTTGGTCGGCTCATCATTGTCGAAGCGTAAAACACACTTAGCCGAACTGAAATAGGAGCGGCATGCCGCACTAATCGGCCTCGTGCCAATCGATTTTCCCCTTGCTGCCTCGTCTTTTTGGGGGCATGTTTTGTGGGCGTTTTAGCTGTGTGGGTTGAGGCAGCATCTCGTTGTGGGGAGGTGGTTCAGTTTCTGTCGGGGTTGGCCGGTGCGGCGGCCCTCTTACTTCCTCGTCGAGTGGCCTGGTCGTCGGGTTATCTGCACACTCCTCATGCCTGGGCATGGTCTGCTCAATATCATTCGAGTCCTCACCAAAGCGTTGCATTCTTTGGTGGCAATCGTGAACTAGCAATTTCCTGTGGATTACAGAGTCCTGTGTCATTGCATTCATAAAACCCCGAAAAAGACGACCACAAAGAACTTAAGACGGCCGTGCAGATAACCCGACGACCAGGCCACTTGACGAGGAAGTAAGAGCCGCCGCAGTGGCCAACCCCCACAGAAACTGAACCACCTCCCCACAACGAGATGCTGACTCAACCCACACAGCTAAAAGGCCCGCAAAACATGCCCCCAAAAAGACGAGGCAGCGAGGGGAAAATCGATTGGTACGAGGCCGATTGGTGCGACATGCCGCTCCTATTTCAGTTCGGTTAAGCGTATTTTACGCTTCGACAATGATGAGCCGACCAAGCTCTCCGAAACCTCAGCGTTCCAATAGACCTGTTCTGATGGGCCCTACTTACTTC